CGAGGCTGACGATCCATGTAATTCTGGTAATTTGATCTTAAGTCGTCATAGTTCTCCCAAGTGACATCTTCTGCTAGTAGGTTCGCCCACTGTATTAGCACTTCAGTAGTGGGTGGTCGTCGCCGAGTCACGATCCGTCAATCAATAATGACACTCAGTTAGATCTGGAGTTCTCCTTGGATAGTCATATTTGGTGGATAGTTTTGGGCTGTCTCGTTTTGCCCCAGCTTAAGCTTTAAACATGACACATGGAAGACTGGATGGATTTGGGAGCTAGCGGGTAAGTCCAATCTATAAGCTACCGCTCCTATGCGCTCCAAAATTTAGTAGGGTCCATAGAACCGAGGTGAAAGCTTCATAGATGCTCTGGTCTGGATTGATGTTTGCTTGTATGGCTGGAGCTGTAAGAAGACCTAATCTCTTACTGAAAATTCTCTTTCACCTTTGTGTTGATCATATTGTTGTTTCATCCTTGCTTGGGCTATAGTAAGATTATCTTTCAGTAACTTCAGCATTTTGTCTCTGTCCTGTAGTTCCTTGTCTACTTGTTCTACTTTAGAGGTGCCCAACACATATTTTAGGATTATAGGGGGAGGTCGACCATATATAGGAGTACATTTTATAGATGAATGATAAGTTATATTATACCATCACTCGACCCAGGAAAGCCACTTTGTCCACTCTTTTGGCCGGTCACTAGTGAAGCATATGAGATGTCTCTAAGCACCTATTCATCACTTCAGTCTAGCCGTCGGTTTTTGGGTGATATGCTGTATTTATTTTCAATTTAGTGCCCTATATTTAGAATAACTTTATCTAAAATCTACTTGTGAAGACCCTATCACGATCACTTATAATAGATCTCGGCATCCCATGCAATTTTATAATATTCTCCATAAAGATTCGAGTAATACTAGAAACAGTGTAGGGATTACGAACAGCTCAAAAGTGAGCATACTTTATAAGGCGATCAACCACGACAATAATTGTACTTTTTCTTTGTGATGAGTGAAGCCCTTCGATGAAGTCCATTGATATATTAGTCCATATTGAGTCCAGGATGAGTAGAGGTTGCAGCTTTCCGGGGCCTGCCACTATCTCGCCTTTATGTCGTTAACATCAATCACATTATGCCATGAATTTAGCAATAATATTTTTCATCCCTACCCAATAAAAATTTTGCTTAATTCTCTTATAGGTTCTAAGGAACCTGGAGTGCCCGACCGTAGGTGTGTAATGCATCTCTTGAAGGATGGTCTTTATGCAAGTAGAATTTGGCACAAGCACAATACGTCCCTTATAGCGCAATTCTTTTGAGTCACAACTGTAATGAGCTACGAAGCTTGATGCTTTCTCCAATTTTTTTATGATATTTTTGGTTTTCGGATCTTCCTGCCATTCCCTCTTAATATCCTCAAGGAAGTTACTGGTCGGAAGTGAAACGACAAAAAATTTAGCTTGCTCTGGTAGCCGCGAAAGCGCATCTACAATGACATTCTCTTTCCCCCTTTTGTAAGTTATTTCATAATCATATCCAAGACGCTTTATTACCTATTTTTGCTACTCAGGGGAAGATATCTTCTGCTCCAAGAAATATTTTAGGCTTTTATGGTCGGTCTTGATTTGAAAGTGTCGCCTGATCAAGTACGATCTCCATTTGGTCACTGCATGCACAATCGCAAGCATCTCCTTTTCGTAAATAGTCATCTTGAGATGGGAAGGAGATAATGCCTTACTGGTATAAGTGAGGGGGCAGCCATCTTGTGTTAGTACAACACCAATTCTGACTCTAGAGGCATCGACTTCAATAACAAAAGTCTTGCCAAAGTCGGGTAGTGCTAGTACGAGTGTTGTCGTCATTGCGACTTTAAGTTCGTCGAAGGTGGTGGTGGCTTTGTCCAACCATTAGAAAGTATCTTTTTTCAGCAAGGAAGTAAGGGGTGCACTGATCTTTCCATAGTTTTTCCCAAACTTACGGTAGTAGCTTGTTAAACCAAGAAAGTCACATAGCAATTTTATGTTCCTCAAGGTCAGCCAGTTCTACATTGCTTCAATTTTGGGGGGGTCCACTGCCACACCTTTCTCTAATATGATATGCACAAGATATTCCACCTTATGTTGAAGAAAGCTACACAAAAATTTGTAGTGGTCGTTATGTGTTCGAAAGACGGTTTTCGGTATATCTTCTTCGCACACTCATATTTGATAATACCCAGATCAAAAGTCCAGCTCTATAAAGACTCGTGCTCCCATTAATTTATCAAGCAATTCATCTATTACCAGAATAGGGTATTTATCCTTGACGGTTATGCCATTGAGAGCTCGGTAATTAATGCACATTCGCCATGTTCCGTCCTTCTTTCGTACGATGGTCGAATAACTCCTATTTCGAGCATCTCTTTTACAATCCTTTCTATTTTAGCCTTCTAGAGATGTGGATACTAATATGGTCGAGTATTTACTGAAGGTTTGCTCGGAAGAATCGATATACAATGATCATGCCGATGTGTAGGAGGTGGGTTGCGCGGTTCATCAAATATATATAAAAATTCAGCAAGCAAAGGAAGTAGGTTTGGATCTTCAAATTCTGTTATCTCTCCCTTAGTTTGCTACTCAAGTTATACTAAAAAGTCGTTGTATGCTTTCAGCAAGACCTTCTCCATTTGTTATGTGTAAATCGTCGTTACGTCGCCCCCAAGTTTCCCATGCAGTATCACCTATTTCCCCTTACTATAAAATTTCATGATTAGTTTCATAAAATTCTAGGAAGCATCACCTAATGTCGTCAGCCATTCGATGTCGAGCAAGAGGGAGGAGGAAGAAATCTGCAATTA